GGCCTGTCCAATGCTCAGACCACCACTACCGATGACCAAGACCTTCTTGACATCGACCAGGTTGCTGCCGGGCTTCACAACACCACTGGCCAGGTAGCTGTCGGCGGAGGGGGCATTCGAGGACTCCGAAGCCAAGCGACGAAGAGCACTGGAGAAAGAGCGCAGCTGCTGTGGTCGCCACGGAGAAGGCGCCTTCGCCAATCTGAGACTCGACGCCGTCGAGTGAGCCGTGGTCTGAGAGGAGAACGGGCGCAGAGCGAGGGCCGATCGACGGGATTCAGCCAAGCATCTCTGGCGCAGGAGGGCGGACGTAGCCTGCCCGCAACGAGCGGCGAGAACCATTGCGCGCTGCGCTGATGGAAGCGAAAATTAAGGTACGAGGATTGGGGGGGAGGGAAGGGAGGTGCGATGAGTCAATTGAGAGAAATACACTCTCAATTGCTGGTCTGGAGGTTCCGAACAAGGACAAACCTGGAGACTCCGCTTTTTTTTATCCGGCTCTCCTTGGGGTTGGTAGTGTCCCGCTTTCTGCCACACGCCCAAGTCACAAGGGGAGGACTCAAAAGGGAGGGTATATGTCCCGACAGGGTTGTCTAGGGAGGGAGAGAGAAGAGATGTGAAGACAAAGAAGCAAAAAGAGGAAGAGAAGGGATGAAGCGGAAGAGACGAAAGAAAAAGGCTCCGTCGGGAAAGGCGATGAGTCAATGCGGCACTTCTCCTCTGAAGGAGGGAGTCATGAACCAGCGCCAATTGCAGTGGAGAGACCCGAATGAGTCGACCACAATTCCCGAAAGTACAAAAAACTCCCCCAACATTCAGGGCCGATAAGAGCTCCGGTGTGCGGAGCCCTCTTTTTTTTTTCCCTCCTTCTGTGTTAGAGGCAAGGGAACAGCCACTGGAACGCTGGCCGATCTCGCCTTCTAAGTGGCCAATGACTTCACCGCTCCCATCACTAACCAATCAGCAAGTGCGAGGGTCGGCAACCGGAGTACGGGGAGGTGCAGCGACGCAGATGGTCGATGGGTCTTGACCCCATTAGTGCCATAGTCTAACTGCCTACTAAAAACCACTAGCAGCCGTACTGTCCAGACTGGAGCACAGTTGCCTGCGGTTAGCAATACCGATCACTAATATCCTGGTGTGCTGATAATGTTGTCCAGGGGTTAGTTGCACTGATGGATCTCGATCCCTGGCGAGACAACAGAATGGTTCACAGTCATTGGAGCAAGCCTTGGTTCCTATAGGATAATAATTATTCAATCAGTATTAGACATCACTTAGTCTCCTTGTCCTACAGCCGCCAGCTGGTGTAACCCATCAGCCGCGCGTTAGGTGTAAATCCTACCAGCAAGTTTTGCAAGCCTAATGCTAGACTAGTAAGCGTGGGCGTCTTAGCAGATCAATGCTCTTCTGGTCTCCGCTTGCCGGCTAGGTAGGGCTCGCTTGCACGCTAAAAAAAAGTATGGCCAACTATGCCAAGGAACGAGGACTCATCTAAGCTTGAAGCACCGGCATTCGGAGGTTATCCACGTCTCGGGGTCAACCTACATACACTCACACTTTCCCGCCTGCTCGATTTATGCTAGGTCATATTCACCCTAGTCACTAACTTCCACAGTCGCACTGCGACTGTTGACTCTCTGATTAATGATATCGCCGTCACTCCCCGATTCCTATAGTGCCCTTGAGACCAGCCCACGGACCATTAGGTTGTGCTTCACGCTGTTCTAATTTGGTTCGAGATCTAGTCACCCGTCCATGGTCTTGTTTTTCCTTTCGATCATCTCCCATGATGCTCTCATCATTTTGATTGAGCATTCGAGCAACAGCCTCTAGTTCCTGCTTTGCATTCTGAACTGATTCATTCCCTTCGGCCAGCTTCTGTTCCACATGTTCATACTCGCTGACTCCTGCTTCGTCGGATGCAAATGCCCATGCTTCAGCCAGAGAAATTACTTCGTCCTTCTTGGTAGGCTCAGCGAAGTTGGTAGCATGACGCAAGGATGCAGTCGCTGCTGCGCGACTCGAACGCGGCTGATCCGCAGGCATTGGAAACTCGGGAAGGAGATGACTCTCGTCTCTCAGGCGATGGAACATGCGGAGGCTTGTAGCTCTCTCCTTGCCAAGTAGGCCGGATAAGTAGAACTTCTGTAAGGCAAGTGCCCGTTGGCTTTTCGAAAGCGGGAGAAGATTTTTTTCGGTATAGGAAAGCACATCCATTGGGTTCAACGATTGCGGCTCCGGTGGCGCATCGTTCTTCTGAGTGATAGTCGTAGAACAATTTGAAAGGGACACAGAAGGTACTGCAAGAGGCTGACATGCTCTAGAGGCGGCATCTAGCAGAGCCTTGCGGGCCTCGACATACTCGGCATATTGCTGTGCAACCTCCGCTTTCTGCTCCTCAAATAGGCGCGTAGATTCCTCGAGGTCTTCGGGGGCCAGATCCAGCCTGGATCCACTGTCTTCGTGACTGCCAGCACTGACCAATTTCTCCTCCACCCAATGAATCAGTTCATCACGTGTTTGTTGTAGGGCGGCCGTTCTGACAGCTGGCGTGATGTTACTTGACAGGGAATTTTCGTCAAGGTTTACTTGTGCCTTCAATTCCTCTAGTAGCTCTTTTTCCCTGTCAAACTGGGCTTTCGCTTGAATAACTGCCTTCTCCAGTCTGTGCATCAACTCCTCAACTCTATCCCCTGCATTGGATGATGGTTGGGTTATTTCTTCTAGCAGCTCTGGCGGCACTCCAAGCTGTTTGTGGCTATCCTTGAAACTTTCAGCTCGTCTTCTGTTTCGTTCCCTAAGCTCCTGTGAGTAACGTTGGAACACTTGCAGCTTTGCAAGTTGGCGACGCTCACGGAGGAGATTGACATATTCGCTTAGGTCCTGAGAAGGATCGCATTGCGGTGCTTCGGTTGCTTTCTGTTGTTGCTGTTGTTGCTGCGACTCATATGCATTTTGCTTCTCTACAACTGCTTGATATTCCCTTCTCGCAGCAATGTTGGCTTGTAAAGCTTCCAAGTATTGCCTCCGCAGTCCAGTAATCTCCGGTGGGATGGGCTTCACGCCGACAATTGCGTCATGAGGTACAGAAAGGGTGAGGTGCGAGTTGGCATTGAGTTCGGGGTTGTCGGGGTCATTCTCTGCGAAGATGATGTGCGAGCGAACATAGGCAGTCAAGGCTTGGCGGATACGGAAGGCCTCCTGACGGCTTTTGAGGTAAGGGGCAAGTGGTGCGGCGAATTCAGGAATAGGCTCACTTGAGGGTGGTGCGAAGCGGTCTTCCATTTGGGTCCAGGCATGTGGGGGAGTGATGGGTAGGAAAAGACACTGGATGATGCTAGTGGTGATCTAATGTGCGGGTTGTTTGTGGAGAGCTGGGACCGAGGGATTGGGGACGCACTGGAGTTGTGTCCGCTTTTTGTATTCGGCCCGATACAGTGCCGCACCGCCGCACCACCGCTTATTTGCGATCAGGGACAGCCCATGGACCGAAGCGTGGCTCTGACGGCCCCGCAATGTTCACAGCAGGGGAAACACAACACCATATGTCATCGCTGCAGACAGCAACTTCACGAGACATGGCCTCCAAGGCAAACGATTGAGTGAACAATCTCTTTGTAACCATTCCCGAACCTACGGACAAAAATGGCAGGATTCAAATCACAGTTTTCTTGCGGTATTGCAGATATATATTATGTAGGCAAAGGGAGGGGAAGGGGAGGAAGTCGAAACTGAGGGGGGGGTTTATACTCTACCGAATTTCCTGATGTGGGAAGAACCGACCGGTCGCCATCACCAGCAGCATCCATGCCTCGAATTCTGCAGCATAAGACAAGATGCCCCCGGCTTCAAACCCGAGGCTCTTTGCTATGCTATTTCACCTCAGGGCAGCTTCTACTACGTCCTTTGGCCTCCGACCATTAGGCCTGGTACTTATGCATGTCAATTACGAGGGGGGAAAATAAGTACCATACCAGATACCAGATTGCGCATGCAGGAAGAGCTGCACTCGTGAATGGACTCTTGGGGCGCAATGACCCCTCTAGCATAAACAGCCAGGCTACTTAAGATATCAGTCTTAACCAACCGACCGGTAACTTATGGCACTCGCATCACTAGGCGGTAGGTACAATTTAACTAATGTACTTTACGTATAGATCCTGCTCGCTAAACGCGCTTTAGCCCAGCTAAATGAGACTCTTACTGCTACTAGTCCCACCTAGTCGGGTTCGTAAGAGGGTGATTTCCACCCCCCCCCCCCGTGTTATCGTCATAATCTCCGTACTGGTAGCAAGATGGGTGATGTGACAGCACAGACTGGGTGCCTTAAGTGGGCCTCGGGTCTGTTAGTCGAACCAGGTATGCATGTGGGGGGCCAGGGGACCTTTGGTGGATGTGAAGTATCCAGGATCCATTCAGCTTTCGTAGAACAAGTGACATGCAAAAGAGCGATATACATATGCACCACTCTAATGGTCAACCAGTTCGATACACAAGATGTTCAAGGTTGATGAAGGTCGAGTAATAAATAGGCTTGTGTGGTGGTGCATTGCGTGGACACCCGGCCAGGATCGATGACCATTGGATGATGATAGAAATTGATCCATGTCCATACAACTTGTGGATCACCGCTGATCAATAGCGACCATAGTCTGATGCATTGTAACTTAAGTTACCTTTCGCTCTAAAGTAATACCTGTACCCGTATAAACTTTTGGAGATGTCAAAACAATGAACAAGAAATAAATCAACAATGGAACCATGATTCTAACCAGTTAAGCGGCATGAGACAGGTTCCATGCAATCCGAACAACTCGTCTTGTCCACATCAGCTGAAAGATTCTGGTTGCAAATCAACGGTGGTCCGGGGTGTGGAATGTTTCAAAGGTCCAATCAAGGGGCTGCTATCCTGCAGGCTGGCACTTTTGGCCAAAGCAATCTAAACAAGTGAATCGTTGTCCGCCGCTACCAACTTACCATATTTACTTCTCTCATCTGCGGATAAAGCCTCTCTCCTCATCGCACTCCACTCATCAACAGACTCCCAGAAAACTATCCGGGTTCCCTTTTGTCTTTCTGTTCTCCTGTCTTTCTTTTACTTCTTGATTTGTCCCCACCAAGGTCGCTATCGTATCGCTCATTCTACATCGATTCAAGTCACTCCGATCATGACCATAGAATCGAGCTCCGTCGCTATATCTACGCCCAGATCCCGGCCCCGTGCTGCAACGACTGTGCAACCAGCTCCCACCTTTCCCGCGTCACTTTCTTCCCGACGCTCTTCACAAGTCATGGCCCCTCTTACGCTCTCGCCTACTCTCAACGCCTCAGCAGCAAGCCCGATGCCGGCCGTTGGGGATCAAGAGACTTCACGGGCAGCCGCAGTGTCTGGTAAGTCGGGAATACCCAAACAAAGAAAAATCAATTGTCAAGGAACCTCGAATTGAGCGAAAGGCAGGCCCACTACGTCATCCCAAACCGCTGACCCCCTCCGATATCCATTCGATGTTGGAGCAAGAGCAAGAAGCAATGGTATGAAGCTCGGCGTCTTGTGCAAATCCTCTAGACACTGACCCCGCTTGTTACCATAGGTTAATCGGCTATCGAGAGAACTCTCTCTTCTTCGCCAACAAACAGCCTCGGTCGCATCGACAACATCATCTACATCGACTACACTCAACGATCCTATGGACTCTCTACACGCCTCCCCGTATGCCATCAGCTCCACGGTTCCGACGACTTCGCGCCGACATCGCTCCTCTTCCAGCCTCAGTTCTTCCTACATCCCCGCGGTTCAAGGGTCGCGGACGGGCAGCGGGTTCGGAATCGCACCGTCGAGGGAGACACAGCTACCGTCGACCCGCACGGACTCGGGTAGGAGTCGAGAGCCGTCGCTCACTTCTCGACAATCGGACGCAGCATTGTCACAGCATCACTTGCCGTCGACCGATCAGCTTTCACCCTCCATAGGAGGTTTCCCTCACCGGAACTCGATCACTCAGCAGAAGAGCCCGGTTATTCCTCCCTCCCGCCACGAGGAGCTCCTAGCCCAGCGGGAAGAGGTAGATATGCTGAAGCGGGAGAATGAGACTCTACGTCGCCGTGTGCGGGAACTAGAGCTGATTGTTCGAAATTCTCGAGAACAGGAGCGTGCTACAGACCACTCCACTCCTGATACAGCGCGTTCCGGCGGAGAACAGGGGAGGGAGATACTAGATTCCGAGAATTGAAGCAATCTCGCTTCTGGTGGTATGACTCGGTCTTTCCATGCTGGAGTTTCCAAGAACAGTGTTCTTCATTCAGCTGGCCAGGTGCTCAATCATCAATCCAATAGATTATTCTTCTCAGGCGTACGTGGCTTTGGGGATTGGAATCCTAGAACTTCTCCCTCATTTCTTCTCGTTTTGCCGTAGGTAAAGTCTCGAAGGAGTTGAGTCGGGCAAAAATTCTACTGCAGGTGCTCATAGTATCCCAAAACCTACCCGATCTATCCACGATGGATCCACATTCGTTGAGTTTGAGTTCGATTGGCCAGGGACCTACTACTTTGTTCCAATGGGCTTATTTCTATTAGAGAGATATGTGTCATCCGGCTGCGGGGCATTGAGTGTCCACTGTGAACTCCCAACGTACTATACCGGGTGTGCTCAGCGATAGGGTATCTACAATCCCATACTCTTCGAATTCAAGAGATGCCCTTAGCTAGACTTGATCACAACCCGTGATTCTCAAATAGCTCAACATGATGGAATACCACTACTCCTCGCTGAACAAGCATGGAGCCGTGAATTCTATGTGTAAAACCTACTAAGGACGTCGCCTTCAATCTGTCCTGCCATTTATCTTCCCAAGAGTCAAAGGCAGCTAGGTGAAATTCCTCAGCACTAGCGGAGGCTAGCCGTTGATCTCTATTTAGATCTATACTCTGGATGCTCCTTTCATGGAAGACAAGGACCCAACCATATAACCTATTCTGCTAACCTTCTATTCTCCCTTCGTAGTCCTGAGGCTGATACCACTTTGCATGTTATAATCTCTCCTTTGGAAGATCAAACCTATATCATGGGATGGATATACACAGAATATCAAGCTCCGAGCATCGCAGCGGTGTCTGACCCGGGATCTGGACCCGGGATCTTGTATAGGTCTCTATCAATAACTTTTGACAAAGGCTGATTAACTAATTTTCCTATCAAAGTATGCCAGGAGACTGCCCCACAAGCCACCCGGCTGATGAAAGGCCTTGATACAGAAGACTTCAGGTAATACTGGAGTACCGAGTAGCGTGCAATATGTGCTGTTATCAAGACCTTCGATTTCTTGTTTGAGGTGATTGCGGATCAAAGGGTTCCGCACCTGATAGAATATTCTTCAGCCTTATCTCAAGCTATCTGAACAGACTTATGGTGCAAGTCCTAGAGCAGAGTCTGCTTAAAGGGAGAAGCTTATATCTGTCTTGATATGATTTACGTAACTTTCTACTAGATGCATTGATACTCGAGATAGTGTTCTTGGCTGAGCAAGATGTGTGAAGGCAAGCTGATCCTTAGGACTGGGGCAATTGTCCTCAACTTGAGTTGTATAACTTACAATATTTAAATAAGCTCCTGGCGGTTTCCCAGTCGAGTCCATCATAACTACCTCTGCAAGAATTTTTCTCACGTCTGGAACTCTCTCAATGAAATTCCATCTGGGTCTAGTCGCCTTGACGGCATTGGCCGCCGGTTCCACCGCGCTGCCAAATGGCAGAGTCCGCCAACGAAGAAGCCTGAGTGAACAGGCCAGTTTTCTGACCACGATAACGCCCAGTAACCAGACTGTGGCGGAGATCGTCGCGGGTTGGGACCTCGAGAACCTGACTGTGGCGGCGGTGCGCGTCCCACCGGTCAACTGGCCCCTTCCCATGATGAACAAGGGTTGGGATCGGGTCAAACTTGACCTGAACGGCACCGTCGAGCTGGGGATCCGTCTGATCCAACAGGCCGCTGCGGCGAATGCCCGTGTCATTCACTTCCCGGAGGTTTGGTTCCCCGGTTATCCTAAGGTTAGTTGAGATAGAAACCGATCTAAAACTGTCCTCTCATGTTGCTAGGGTTGACGCTTCGCCAGGGTATTATCAACTCCGATGTCCCGAATCCCTGGTTCGAATACCACGTCAAAGATTACATCGAGAACTCCTTGGTGGTCGGCAGCGACAACTGGAACAAATTGGTGCAGGCGGCGGTTGATAATCGCATCTACGTTGTAAGCTCTGAGTTTTCTTTTCACTTTGTCACCACTCCCGGTGTCTGCAGACTCTGACCCTTGTGCCGACTTGTTAGGGACTCTCATTCTCCGAGAAAGATGCCGCCCATCTGTACATGGCGCAGTCTCTAATCGCCCCCGACGGCGAGATCCTCATCCACCGACACAAGCTGCGGCCCTCGGCCCAGGAGCGCGACCTCTGGACGGACGGCAAACTCGACCAGATCTACGCGGTCAGCACCCCCATCGGCCGCATCGGCATGCTCTCGTGCGGCGAGCATACTGCCCCCGAGGTCACCTTTATCATGCAGTCGCAGACTGAAGACATCCATCTTGGCTCGTGGCCGTAAGTTCTCTCTCATATCCCAATTTGCCCCGTCCACCTTCCTTGTACCCAGTTGTTGACTTTTGTGGACGAGGGGGAAGTCTCGTCCCGGATTTCGGCAATTCCAGCCTGACCTACGAGTCAGCTGAGGTTATCACGTCCTTGGGCCGGGTTTATGCAATCCTGGGGGAGGCGATTGTGGTGCAGGCGGCCATCGGTACAGCCACCATCTTCCCTGCAGGGTCTTCGGCAGTCTGGTCCCAGGCTGTGGCCAACGTTTCCTTCGCCGACCATCCGCTCGTCTACCGCTCGTTCAACGCCAGTGCCTTTACGAATACAACTTATAACGCTGATGGGGAGGTCTCGTGGGGCACCCTGCAGGCCATCAATGAGGGGTTTCCTGAGTATATTCCGCAGGTCGAGGGTACGTTGGTGCCCTGGAAGCAGGATCTCATTTCCATTTTGCTCAATGAGTCTGTCGTGTGATGGTTCAAGCTTCGCGAGTGGGACTATCGAGGAATGCAGTAATTGATCTACTATCGTGTCGCGCAGGAGCTGCTGTAGTAAAGACATCGATCTTTCTTTTCAATTCGGCATTCTCACGCACGAGAGTCTCCAATATTCCTTGTCGACAAAGACACGTCTGGTCCAGCCCAAGTCCGTCGTTAGCTTCCAGAGTCCATTTAACCTGGAATGCCACACATTCATATTTATCGTGCCTTTACTTCCTTCGTAACGGTCGTTCAGAGTAGTAGCACTCTCAGTCGAGTCTCAAACAAAGATAACATGCCGATTGCGCTCCATCGCACTATCTCCTCGCCCACAAGCCTTCGCATCAGAATTGATTCTGCCGGCCTCTGAAGCCTTAAGATGGATGGGAAAACCTTTCGCTTGCCCTTTTTGCAAGGCTTGCAAGCCTGAGTCACGCGCCTGGTTTTACTAAGACCAGAGTTGACCTCCATGAGATCACAAGGAATAGTGTAACATGAGTGTTGTATAGTGAAGTTGTCTGTTTACCTCTGAGTGGTCAGATGTACAGTACTTACGGTCTCATTGCCAAGCTAGGACGAACTGGGCACGGAATAGTTTTTCTCCTACGTTCCGAATCGCATAGTGTACCTATCGATTCAAAGATTCTTCTGGTGGAAAGATAACCTGCTTGACGGGATCCCAAGGATAATCAGTTATCAGTTAGGTACTTGAAATTATCCACCCTCTTCCACGTCTAACAGTAGTTACTATCACAGTCCTGAAATCAGTCATTATGAATGTGTGTACGTATCATAGTAGCTAGCTATATATAGGAGATAAAGGAGAAATAGGAGAGAAAGATGGTTTCACATGCGGGTCCAGCGTGGCTGTGCGGGGTCGCTGCCTGCTGCTGCCCCTCGCGCGACGTCATTTGTGGCGTAGTGCCGCCCGCTCTTCCCCCCAAATAAATAACCACCAGCTCCTCCTCTCTCCTTTCCAGTTCCCTTCAACACTACACTGACTCTGATTTACTCGTATCACTCAATCGAGATTTATACCCGACAGATACTCTCTCAATTCTACGTACCTCTACCTCAAACACATCCATCATGTCTGAGCGTTCTACTGTTCACGTCGAGGGCATCGCCCCCGCTACTACGGATAAGGAGGTCCAAGACTTCTTTAGCTTCTGGTCAGTGACGCAGGCATTCCAGGCCCTTGCATAAGACATGCAGCTGACAACATTGCAGTGGAAAGATCACTTCTATTTCTGTTACCCCTGTGTCTGGTGAAGAAGGTGCCCAGAAGTCGGCCACTGTGACCTTCGAGAAGGAAGCGTAAGCCTTGCCCCGCACCTGCTCCCCCATCCCGCCCATGGCTCAAATTGCACCATCCCTTAGCTTCTGCTCTTCCCCCCACCCCCTCTCATGACATAACTAACCCGTCATCTAGTGCCGCAAAGACCGCTCTGCTCCTTGACCACACCCAATTGGGTACCTCGGTCGTTCACGTCAAGGCCGCCCACTCTCTCGATGATATCGCCGGTGACCACGCTGCCAGCGCCTCTGAGGCCAAGGACGAGCACGACCATGACCTCGAGCAGGAGGACAAGCCCCGCTCCCGCATCGTCGCCGAGTATCTGGCCCAGGGATACGTGCTGAGCGACAACGCCATCCAGAAGGCTATCGCCCTGGACCAGAAGCACGGCTTCACCTCCCGCTTCACCAACGCCCTGGCCAACTTCGACAAGAAGTACAACGCGACCGACAAGGCCAAGGGTCTGGACGAGAACTACAAGATCACCGAGAAGGCGAGCTCTGGCTGGCGCGGTCTCCACAGCTATTTCGAGAAGGCCCTCGAGACCCCCTCCGGCCGCAAGCTCCGCGAGTTCTATTCCCAGACCGACAAGCAGGTCCGCGACATCCACAACGAGGCTCGTAGACTGGCGGACTTGAAGAGCGGCAAGAGCGAGGGTGACGAGCAGAACGTCAGTGCCGCCCCTACCGCTGGCGCTGGCGCCGAGGGTGTGGGTGCCGCCCCTGCTACTGCTGCGGCTCAGTCCTCTGGCACTGCCCCCTCTGCCGACCAGAAGGCATGAATTTGAAAAACCCTTGAACTTGCAAGTGGGAGATCTTACGAGGTCTAACCCCTTCTTTTCTGTTTTGTACGCCTAATGACGACCTGTTCATTCACATGCTTGAATTTGCACGTTCTCGATGTTCATAATATTATCTCGGCGCGCGTCTTAGCTAGTTAGTTGTCTGGAACAAGCGATTGTGTGTATTGTCTACATCTAATTGAATTATGGTGGTTTAATCTTGAAGCTACTGTCCGTTCCGCCCAGTACGTGGGATATCAGCCTTAGTTCGTATGCGAATACTCAGAACAAGTGCAACAGCCCGCATGTTATGCTTACATTTATTAATTGCTTATTCTAATCTACTTTTATTCATTCAAAGATATCTCCATATCTCACGCCAACAGACCACTCAAAACCACGTAGGAACAAACCCAACTAGACCAGATAAACAGTTACTACAATCAAAAACTACAACCCATGAAAAGTTGATCTCAGATGATGAAAGTCTTCATTTCATTTCTCGCTTCAAATCATTAAACTAAAAAAGAAATTGTTTCGTCACGGAACATAGATCTCAACTAATTCAGCTGCCCTTGCTGAACTTGGCAGACTCGATATCCTCCAAGGGATGCTTGGGGTTGCTGCTCAGCGACGACTTGGTGTTCTCGGACTGCTCCTGGGCGGCCTGGCCGGGGCGGGTCTCGTAGGTCTGGCCGGTCTGGCCCTGGGACGGGGGCGATTGCTGCTGCGCGCCGGTCTGGGATTCGGGAGGGGGGGATTGGCGGCCGGAGTTGGGGGCGGACATTTTTGATGATGGTTGGATTTTTTTGGGACGTAGGAGAGGAGGGTTTGGGTTTCTGAGCATTGCGGGGAATTGTTAATTGAGAAGGGTTTCTTCATTGATTCGTCGATTCTGTGAGATGAAGATGAGACGGACCTTGGTGGTGGACTGGATTGGGTTGGATTCTTCGTCGGGGTGTGTGTAGTGTAGTTTGTTGCAGGTCAGGTCAGGGTTGCGAATTGGGTGGTGGAAAGTTCTTAAGTACTGTATGCTTATGCTAGCTAAGCTAAGGGATTTACTGACTATGATATCGTCGAGGGGGACGGGAAAAGGTGGGTGGCCGGTTTTTCTCAGCCGGCATCATCATGACGTTTTTGGCGGGCTCTTCACCTCTCTGATGTTTGCGGTGGGGGGGGGGGGTATTCAGTGAGTTTCCACCCTCCCAGTAATGTGATCTAGTGGGCTTGGTGAGGAGGTTTCAAATTGGCTATAGTGGTTAGTGGACAGGAGTACTGTACTCCTAGCTTCTGTTTGTTGATAGCTGGCTTCACCGGCGAGCGTGGCTTTGCTGTACCTTGACTATACTTACGAGTAGTTACTGTTGCTGCTGGAAAATTAGTAGTGATGTCATAGTCGAGTGGGTGGAATTTGCTATGTTTGTCTTAGGCACGTGATCAGGATGTGTGCGAACAAGTACTCGTAGATCGTAGTTAATGCCAAATATCATTCCAAATGGACAGACATGGTCTAAAGAAGGGTTTCGACAATCGCCATAGACCACGCACTTTCTGTATCAGAACAAATATAGAGAATTAGGCGATGCCAAAATCAGCATCTTCGCTGGTTTCTATTATCTTTTGGGCTCTGTTTGACTGCTGTTGTCCTCCAAAGATGGAGACTGGATATAAGAATGCATTTTGAGGTCGTGACCGACGTAATCATAAGTCAATTGACAAGGATTCATCTGGGGGAATCGGACATCGGAGCCTTGAGTCATCACTGAGGTCAAGACCGATGAAAAAGGGGACTTTTAGGAGAACCAGAGCAAATCAAATACAGGTCATTGTAACCTTGAGCACGCAGGGGATGGAAAGGGATATGATCTAGGCAACAAAGGAAAGGAGAATCAAAACACAATCAGAAGAGGCATATATGGCGTGGTGGCGTATCCAGCTGAGGCCGTTCGACTGTATTGGGTGTCGAAGTGGCCCGGAAGAAACATAGATGGCTTGTCAAAACAGTCCTCCAACCTGGGATGGCACTTTTCTTTTGCATAAGTTTGTTTTTTTTTTTTTTTTTTGAGTCATGTCATTGCCTTAGGAATCCAGAAGGACCGACTGGTTCATTTCGTCAGTCCCCGGAGTGGATTGCAGTATGAATCAGTTTCCATTAGCCTGGGCGCCTGCAGCTTCGGCATTTGCCGCAGCCAACGCCTTCGCATCGGCTTCGTGGAAAACGGCTTGGAGCACCTGCTGCTCCTCCGGGCTCAGGATCTTTGTCAGGTTGTCGTAGAGTTGCGGCTGTTCTTGTTGAAGGCCTGTGTTGTGAAGTTAGTCAATAGTACAGCGTGACACCAAGGGGCTACATACTCAAGAACACATGCTTGAACATGCCGTAAGGCTCAACCTTGTCAAGAGGAGTCTCCAGCAAGCTTCCTTCGTCCAGCTCATCATCGTCATCATCGGCAAACGAGCCGAACTTTTGAGCCTATCGATGTGATTAGTATCCCCATCGAGATATTAAGACGACAAAAGACTCAAGTCTCCTGGACTCACCTCCTTGTTCAAGAAATCGAGGTAAGCAGTGGTCTCGTCGGCAACGTCATCTTCCAGAACGCCTTCGGCTTCATCCCGCTCAGTCCACTCAACCTCTCCATCCCAGTCGTTCTCCTCGTCATCGACATCATCTTCGTCATCATATGTGAAATCGGACTCCTTGGTGGCATCTTCACGGTCTAAATGAGTATTAGCGTACTTGATCTCGCGCCACCATTCTGTTATAGACTTACTCTTGATAGCAGCAGGCAGGGTTTGGAAGAGTCGGGTCACTCCTTGGAGAAGTCTAGGCCAACCTTGTTGAACGCTGGTCGGGACATCGCCAGCCTTCAGGGTCAATAGGGAGCTGATTGCTGCAATCGACAGCTTCTTGTCATGCACCCGTCTGAAGTTGTCGATGTTGGAGAACCATGTGCTGAAGAACTTGTTTGTCCAGCCATTGGCTTCCAGCACCTGTAAGCTGAGAACAGGGTTGTAGTAGATGGCGTTGATGACCATCTCCATCAAGTGGATGCGGTACGACTTGGTGCGCGCCTCGCCGGCGTCAATGACACGCATCGCGAGCTCGATAAAGACCGGGATGTACTGATCAATAAAGCCACGCAGGTTGAGCATCAAAGTCTCGGCGAGCTTGCAGCCGCAAATCCGGTCAACACCGCCCACTTTCTCATCGTGGAAGATATCCTGAACCATACCCACAACGGCCGCCAGGTAAGCGGGGTTCTGGACCAGCATTTGAGAGCCGTAGGCGATATAGTTGTCGAGAGCAGGGAGCATGTCCTCAAGATAAAGCTCAGCTCCGGCCTTGAAGGTCTTGTGGATGAGCTCAAAGGCCTGCCACATGGTGGGAGAAATCGACTTAGAAGCAAAGGTGCAGCTATCAATGATCTCAAAAACTTCGTTGTACAAGTCATATAGCTTGTTCTCAAGAGTGATGCTGATGACAGGCATGAGGATGGTCTCGAGGTGAAGCAGCACATCCGGAGTGCTCTCGAGAGTGAGAATCAAAGTGCCAATCGTCTGCAGGACACCAAGAGCCGTGATACTCTTGTCATCCAGGAAGTCGCCGTAAGCGTCCTCGTCACCCTTGGTGGCATTGCGTTCCAGGAGCTCTCCCACAATACGCATGTAGGTGTCGCGAAGCTGCTCGCTGAGTGCCACAGCGAACGGAGTAAGCTCGGCAGAGAAGACCTCGACGAAATCCTCCATGACGTTGGCGAGAGCATCCACATCGACCTCATTGGCGAGCTTGAGAAGCTGCTGCATGATCTGGGGGATATTTTGCTGCATCGAAGTCCGAATGATGTCGTGACGAATAAGGGGCTGCAAAGCGAGCGCAGCCTCAACCCTGACAGGCAATTCAGGGTCCGTCATGGACTCTAGGATGTTTCTGTAAATGATCATAAGGTTGTTCGGGTCCTGGAAGTCAAGCTGTTCGAACTTCTCCAGAGTATCACATGCACGGGCTCTGAGGAAGCCATGAGGGCTGCGGAATTCTGGGAAAACGTGACGGACAAAGAAGTATTCGACCTCACCAGCGATAGGGCTCTTCTTGCCCAGGATGACAGAGGCCAAAGAACCGATCATCCGCAGAGCACCTTCCTTCTCCCGAGGCGACTTCTGATCTTCCGGAGCAGACTCATACTTGCTAACGACGCCGTTCACAAATGTGAGAATGGCGAAAGTCTGCTTCTTGCGGTTCTTTGTCAAAGCAACCAAGAAATTGGTGGCGGCGACATCAGGCGCCGAAACCTCTTCGTAGTAATTCAACTTCCGGTGGAGGTATTCTGAAGGATCCTCCTGGAATAGCTCAATGTCTTCATCAGACTGGCACAAAATCGGGAAGATGAAGTGAGCAACCAAGTTGTCCATATGGGGCTTGAGGTGGTCCCACATCGCCTTCGGCTTGACACATTCCTCCAAGAAAACCAGAGTGTAGGCGAGCGCCGGGTTGCTAAGCCACTGACCCTTGGACACCCACTTGTCAATCTCCTGCAAGTATCCCTTGAGAATCTCGGGGGCGAAGTTGGCAATAAAGTTCTTGGCATATTGGGTATAATCGGGAGTGCTCGACTTCGTCATTGTTGTGGGGTTTCCGTATCTAGACAGCGAGGTCAGGCGAGAGTCCCGTTTCCAGAGCTGTGCTATGCACGTTACGTACCTGATGAAAAGACGGTTCAGATTGGCGTACGACCACTTCTTGCACTTCCACCAGTGGTTCAACTCTCTTTCTTCCTTGGACTCCATCATAGCATTAGCCGGAGGCTGCTTGGCAATGATGCGCAAGAAGAGCGTGCACCAATCCACCGTAGCCTGCTGCGTTTGAAGGGACGGCGAAAGTTCGAACTAGATTCGTCGCAGATGTTAGCTACCGTGATGCGACTGGTGTTCCGCTCCGGTTGACCCACATAGATAGCATGCTTGTACGACTTGACAACAATCCGGAGCATTTCCGCAGCTTCCAGACTTTCCTCATCAACCAACTTCGATCCGATATTCAGCAGCTGAGGGAACGTGTGCTCAACGATCTTGTCGAATTCTTCCCGCTTCTCTCCCGCCTTGAACCTGTACACGCGGCAGATCGCCAGCAAGCACTGCAGTCCAGCGTAGACCGAGTTCGCATCGTTGGTTCCCAAGAGTTGAAGGGTGATTTCCAGGAAGCCCGGCCACTGCTCGGGGAAGTCATGCTGAAGAATCTTCTGGAGGAGGGGAACAAGCTGTGCTCTGACATTCGGTGGGGTGGACGCCAATGCCGGGATCAGTCGCTCTCGAAAACTCGGTTTTTCCTCCTCCGGGATCGGTGCGCGCAAAGGGCTTTCTTCGACAACAGACCAGCCGCGAGTGATTCGGTTCTTCAGGTAAACACCGGCTATGAATAGAGGTCTACTTGTTAGTCGATGAACTTAGCGCCTAGGATCCCGAGGGGAAACAGTGGTAGGTGATCTTTCAGGCAGCAGAATGTCCAGGTACTACCTACCCGACAGTTGGACGGCATTATTTTGTTCCCCCTGCAAAATATCCAGAAGCGCATTTATGAAGCCCGGTTGTGTCTCGGCCTGGACAATACTGAATAAGTATAAACCACCTTCAAGCCTGCGATGCTATGCCACACATACATATTTCAAGTCCAACTCAGCTTGGCGTCTGATATCCGCATTGGCGTCGAGGGTAGACTGTATGCGGTCTCTCAAAGCTGCAACATCCATCTCGCACCAGTGACGGCCCCCGGGTTATAGTTATAAAGCTCGAAAAAGATAGGAAGGACCCGTTACGTAGTGCTGAGCCACGGGATGAAGGGGGAGAGGAGAGAAGAGAGGGGGGGGAAGGGAGGATAAAATAGCGGGGGAGTAATGATAGTAAGTGTGCAGATTGCAAAAGTGCTCTTTGGGTTTGTTGGGTTTGGTTTGGTTTTCTCTCGTGGTTT